AGTGGTTGAAAGTCAACCTATGAACCAGCGGGCTCGATCCCAGTGTGGGGCGTGCAAGAGGCAGCCAATCAGTGATTCTCTGTCATCATTGATGTTTCTATCTCTGTCTCCCTCTCCCTTCCTCTCTGAAATAAATTAAAAAAATGTATATTTTTAAAAAGATGACAATAGCAATCAAGGTTATTAAGAAATCAGACACAAGGTTCTTCAGTTCTGAAACTGAGAAGGAAAGCCCTGGCTTGTAGATTCCTCATAGGGTTAAGTAATATCTAGCACTTTTGTGAGTACTGATGCTCTGTTGGGCTGGTGAGGGCAGAACAATGGTCAGACAGAGACAGGAACTAGGGAGGGAGGGTCATCACCTGGACCAGGACCCAGCCTCAGTTGTTATGTAATCAAAATACCTTGAACCTGCACCAATCTCCATTAGCAACAGAAGCACATCGGTCCATGTTGGGGGAGGCAGTGGTGGAAGTGAAGTGCCAGTGAAAACTGGGGTGGGCAAGTCTATCGCAATGTGCTTCCCTTAATAGGCACATGTCCCACTAACGACAGCTTCTTGAGGAAGGGAAATGACTCTCCACTGAGTGCCCCCCTCCCATTTATTCCTTTTCCTCCTTCCCTTTTGAATTATACATTCAGCTGGATTTGCATCACTTACATACACATATGTGTGTGATATGATGATTTATACCATGCAGCTCCACCATGCCATTTAGTCCACATAGAGTTATGGAGTCCCACTGGGGTCCAGCAAAGACATAATTAAGAAGATGAGAATTCCCAGGAAGACTCTGATTTTTGTATCTCCATGGTCATGAGCTTTTGCCAAAAATACATGTGAGGCCTCCAACTTGCTTCTGTACTGGTCTAATAAAAGGAGATTTGCCCGAGTAGATTTGGGGTGATTGTCTGGCTAGCCCAATGTAATGTGACACCTACAACGTTTGGGCTGATGAGGGAGGGGAAGAGAAGAATGAAGATCCTCAGGCAGGATGTACCTGAAAAAGATGGAGCACATCATGGGCAGAAAAGCAGAAGATGTAGGTTTGATAATTCATTTGGTCACTTAAATACTGAAGGAATAGTGAGGGACTTGAGATGTCCACTCTAGACTTATCTTACTGGGCGCTGTGAGGATCGATCAAACAATGTTTGTAGGTGATTTTTACTTCCCTGAGACTATGCACGTGTCAGGTGTCTTCAGCTAGAGAATGGATGGAGAATTGATGAGGATAAAGAGAGACAAGGTTTAAAATTCAGAACCACCATTCAGAGCCCACCAGATGGTACGAAAGACTTAGATGATGCCTACTTTGTGGATTTCACTCAGACTGTAGTCTCACCATTTAAAGAATTCACTCTCTGTTGTCCCAGAGGGACAGTTCATGAGCCATGGATGACACAGTAGAAGACACATCATTCAAACAGCCATCACTATGCTGTCTCCTTCTCCATCCCGTTCTCACAGGATTCAGGGTGGTTCACAGGAGCACACACCAGTCGTGTGTGTCAGGCCACTGGTCTTGGATTTGGCCAGCTTTGGTTCCACTGCTGGCTTTGCCATTTCCTCACTGTGTGGCTGGGAGTGACCCTGAACCTCACCAAGCCTGGGGACAGTACATGTGGGAGTGATTTACTCATAAGAATTTGCTACACAAATGTCAGGGGTGATTATGATTAGTGGTAGGAATGCTTTTCATTTAATAGGCTAAATAAAACATGCTAAACAAACACAACTATGAAAAGAAAAGCCCAAAGTTTGACCTACACTGACATGGCTCCCAAACCTTAGCAGTAGAAAGTTTTTCTCACAGTAAGCAAAGCCATGATCTGGTCCTAAAAAAACCAGTACATTTGTTAAACTTAAAATCCTGTAAATTATTCCTTGGTAAGGGCTATTCTGCACAATATGATGATTTGGGATTTCATCAAATTAATGTCACTAGATATGCCTTATAATTAGGATAAAATATTTGAAAAGTTTGAAAAATGAGGCTATTCATTAATTCATTGATTTTCCTATGGATTGGGAGCCTGAATTTAAATGATACCCAAAAATATAACTAGGTGTGCTCAAAGAGAGACGAGCTGGTTGCGAGTCTTTAAATGGAATGCAGTCGTTTAAAATGCTATTACTATTCTGATTCTCTGAGAACATTAAAACTGCCCATTAAATGAAAATCTAATAATTGGCCCGACTGAATTGTGACATTTTGTAACCTGTTCAGAAATGCAGAAAATTGTGGGAAAAAGTTCTTTTGAGGCAGAATTTGACTTGCAATGTAGCATTACTCCAAAGCCAAGGTCCCCATGCTCACACACACAAAAGAACAACAATGCCGACGGATGAAGGTGAGGAGGACTCTGGAAATCAGAGCTAAGGAGCACGGCTCAAGGCTCTCCAAGGCAAGTTATGTTACTGGTCTGGAAAAAAGTCAACAGGCAAGAGCATTGGCTGTGAGTAAACCTCAGCTTGAAACTGACCTCTCTCTGGGCATGTCTTAAAAACAGAACCAAGACAGGTCACCGCATGCTTTTATATAAACCACCCACAATCTCCAAACTTATTCGGCAATATCATTAAAGGAACAAAAGTTAAATACATTAACCATGAAGAATCAATAGTTCCAAATCAGAGGTTAAAAAATTCTCACGGGCCAGTGGTTACCAAGCATCTTCTATGTGTAGGAAACTGGGCTCAGGGCTTTTTGAGAGTCAAATATGAGAGATACACTCCTTGCTCTTAAAAAATAATTTCAGGCAATTAACATAATTTTGGATCTTACTTTCTTCTTATTTTTATTTTAGAGAGAGAGGGAGAGAGAGAAACATTTATGTGAGAGAGAAACATCGATCGGCTGCCTCCTGCATGTACCCCCACTGGGGATCAAACCCGAAACCTGGTTATGTGCCCTGCCTAGGAATTGAACAGGTGACCATTCGGTGCATGGGACAACGCTCAACCAATTGAGCCATACCAGCCAGGGTAACACTTCCTACTCTTAAGGAGCTTGCCATGTAGCAGGTGAATGAGACAGATACTGACATAAATAAAACATTGTCATACAAGATACATCAATAGGAGGAGTCCAATCAAAGCAACATGGAGCCCCTCTTGTTGGAAGGATCAGGAGAATGGCACCTCCATTCCTTGAGGATGTAGCATCTCAGGAGAAATGATGCTGGAAGATGGGTAGGCTTTTGATGGGGGCTAAGGGGAGGCAAATGTTCAGACAGGAGGAATAGCATGAGCAAGGTGAGAGCTTGAGGCGTGTCTGGGGAGTAGGGAGGAGTTGGGTCTGGCTAGAATACAGGTGAAGAGAAAGCAGGATAGCTGGGAAGGATGCAGAGGGCCAACAGGGGCCTTGCCCAGGAAGACGGACACTGTTAGGGGCACTGGGACTGGGTCAAACATCTTCATCCTAAACTCTTTATCTATAGAAATACAGAGCTCCAACTTTTTGTCCCTTTCCTGGAGTGTTTGTTAGCAAAGCACCCAGACACTGACAAAAGAGCCCCCCCCCCCCCTCCAAGGGAACCCATTCCTGGGAATAAGTGGTGACTAAGAAAGCAAAGGCAGAGAATAACCAGGCATTTAGAAGGAAGAAGGTGAGTGAGGTAAAGGGGAAAATATGGTGGAGAAAAGGTGATATCTAATAAGAAAGAAGCTGAAGGAGAAAATATTTGAAAGTAGTATTTTACCCCAATTATAAGGCATATCTAGTGACATTAATTTGATGAAATCCAAAAACAACAGACTGTGCAGAATCCTTAAGAAAACTGACTACAGACATTCGAGGACCAGCACGCCGTGGTTTAGAAAGCCACCGGCAACCCTGGGGACAGCACCAACTTGCTTGCTGTGGATTTCTACCCATAAAGTAAGGACTGACTGCTCTTTACTCTCCTGTGAGGGGCACTGTGCAAGTCTTAACCATCCTTCCAGGAGAATATTTAATGTCAAGGGGCAATGTTCCAGGAAATTGCTAAGTGGGAAAGGCTACATGACGGATCTAAGTATATATGCACAGCACGACTTTGGTATAAATGTGATGGGTAGCATTTATTGGTGTATTTGGCCGTTAAAAACGAAATCACTGAATGGTGGAAATTTCTGAAATATGCCACGTCATGAAAACACGTCTTCAGTTCTTACGTGGAATATTCAGGAACTCTTTCCTGTCAGGAGTATGGTGTCATGCTCCAATTACTATGCAGAACACTCCTTTAGAAATATCTCTAATAAGAAGAATACTTAACAGAGTCTTGTCGAAGAGGTAGTTGGCATGGCGTAAAATATTAGAGATGAGTGTTTCCACTTCTTATGACTTTTAGAAAAACAGTTCTCTATGTAAGGCATATTCGGGCTTTCCTTGCAAAAAACTGAAGTAGTAACACAAATATCCCCAAGCTTACATCTGCTCTTGTAATCAATGGAACATGTTTATATAGACTTATCTACATTTGCCCGGGGATAAACTGTGAACATCGCATATCAGCCTGTGGTGGAGGCCCAGTCTTTTTCAAAATACAAATGTTTCTGGATTATTTTATAATTCAACAAGCCCGAACGAATGCATATACCCTGTACATTCACTACAGACGTTTTCAATTTTGCATGTGAAATGATCTATTTTATAAGCCGGCGGACACAGTGGAAGGATGGGTCCATTTATATGAGAGAGAAGCAATGACCCTTCATGTTGAACTTCCTGAATGGTATCAGGGTGGAACTGTCTAGCAGAAAAGAAACAACTTCTTTCTTCGGGGTGAAAATGTTATCAACCTCTTACCTAAATAAACTTCTCTGGCACAGGGGGGAAATCGTTGAACATATACTTAATAAAGTGCAACCAGGACTGCAGCTGCTAATTTGGGTTTGATGCTTTGCAGCTGAAGGTAGGAAAAAAACCCTAAAAGGCAATTAGGTGAGCCGAACAGACTTTTATAGTTTATGAGCCATACTCAAGTAAGTAATTCTGGCAGATTCTATATTCTTTTTTTTTTTTTTTTTAAAAGATCTCACATTTATTACTGAATCAACCTTCTATTCCAGGAGGAAAAAATCAACAGAGCAAAATCACAAGTTCATTAATCTTCCAATTAAAATGCCCCAACTGTCCAGACAGTAGCATCTTTTCAATCATTTAAGGGTGTAGGCAACCTGGATACAGCATAAATATGTGAGTCATCTCGCATGTGTGATTTCTCATAGGCCCAGTTTGGTTCTTCTCCAATGTCTCCTCTTCGAGTTGTACCTGATTTTATTACCAGTTTTCATCCTAATCCATTGGGGAATAGGCCGATTCTGCTTTTGTTTCTTGGCCAGGAACCTCTTGATCCTGAAAGTCTTGTGGGAAGACATGGTGAGGGAGAGGCAAACGCGCGCACCTCGATGGCGGAGAAAGAGATTCTATATTCTTAATGCTAAAATACATCAACTGCCAAATGAGGACAATAACTTAATTTTTTTTTATTTATAGCAGCAGTAAATCACAGACAGGTTTCTAAAACCTAAAATGCCAACACAACATTCATTTATTCATTCGTAAAATATGCATAGAAAATGCATATTAAAGTGTTAGCAATGGTTCAATGAACGATGAGGCTGACAGGGACTTTTATTCGGTTCTCTGTACCTTTGGGTAATTTCAATACAGTCAACAATAAATATGAGATTCATATTTTAAAAATGTCTAAGTTCTATTTTTATATGTTTTTTTAATTGATTTTAGAGAGAAGGGATGGGAGAGAGGAAGAGACATGGAGATAGAGGGAGAGAAGGAGAGAGAGAAAGAGATCCATTGGCTGCCTCCTGGGGACTGAATCCACAACCCAGTCCTGTACCCTGAGTGGGAATTTAGCTAGTGATTTCTTGGTTCATGGATGACGCTCAACCAACTGAGCCACACCTGCTAAGTTCTATTTTTTAAATTACAAATAACTACAAATTACAAATTACAAATTACAAACTCAGCTTTTGTGGGTGTGTGGAAGAAAACTATATAAACTATAACAAAAACAAAATCCTCGGAAGCCTATTTTAAGTATGAAAGAAGCATCTACTCCTTAAGGCATTGCTGGGCTGCGGGTCAGTTTCTGGGTGGCAGAGCAGGCTTGGGTTTTGTTGTTGGCTAACAAGTAGGGATGAGGTGAGGTGGCGTAGGGACCTGGTAGCAAAAGTCCAGGTTTCCTCAGTGTCTATTGGTTTAAGCAATTACGGTGCAGAGTGGGAAAGGCCATATGCGGTATCTGGTTGGAGAAAACTTTTCAAACCAACAATTACGGACGTGCCCCCCAGATGACCAGATGAGCACGGAGCTGCTCCAGATGAAGTCCTGCCTCCTTGGTCTCTTTCTCCTCCTTGACAACCTTCAGGTAGGTGGAACACAATTTGAGAATCACCACTTCACAGCATCGCTGGGGGTGGAGGGTACTGTGCATTGGCTCAGTCCACACAGATTTTGATCCTGTTTAGCAGTTTTCTTAAACTGGGAAGGCTAGAAAGCTAAGAACTACATTTTCGAGTTTTCTTGCAACCAGGTTCCAGACGTGGCCCAGGTTCTGCGAGGCTGATGTCTGTACAAGACTTGGAAAGCGAATGTGAGCAATATGAGGCAGTGCATGGGAACAGACAGCTACTTCTGGGGTGAGCGTGTGTGTGTGTGCATGTGTGTGCACGCGCTTAAGGGGGGAGGGTGCATTTGGTTCTTCTGGGATAGCTCTGGCAGGGACTACGGAGCCTGGTGCCTGTATCCTGGTGACATGTGGGGTAAGACTATAGCCCTGAGCTCTCCCAGGCCATCCGACTGGTCTCTTTCGCTGCTGCGTAGCATCCAGAAGAGCTTCGCTGGCTTGTCTCATAAATCTTTCTGCTTAAATTAGCTAGATGATTCCATCCCCCTGAATCTCAGAACTGTGATGAATGCAGTGTCTATAAGCAGACTCGAATGATCTTGTTGCCTCATATCTTCACATCACCCCATGCCTGGGTCCTTACTGAAGCTAACACTACTTTTGTCAAGCAGAGACAGAATAAAGGTTAGTTAAATCACAGCACTATAGCTATAACATTATGCTGGACTACTTTTAACATCATTCAGCTATTTATTAGTGAGAGGAGGTCTAAACAATATAGGTAAGAAACACCTCAATAAGCAAGAGATTGAATTTAAATTTCTCATCATTTGGAGGGAAAGACAGAAACAAGCCCAAAACTATCATTTAAGATACAATAGAAAAGACAGGAATATAAAATTCTTTTTAAAAAACATTTTATGTATTTATTTATTTTTAAATATTTTTTATTGATTTCAGAGAGAGGAAGGGAGAGGGAGAGAGGGAGAGAAACATCAATGATGAGAATCATTGATTGGTTGCCTCCAGCACACCCACTACTGGGGATTGAGCCCACAGCATGGGTACGTGCCCTGACTGGGAATCTAACCATGACCTCTTGATTCAAGGGTCGATGCTCAACCACTGAGCCACACCAGCTGGGCTATAAAATTCTTATAACTAACAACGGATCTGAATTTGATCACTGTAGAATGACAAGCTTAAATTTTTAATGTCTTTTTGAAAAATACCAAGAAAAAAAAGAAAAACTGGGCCATTTATCTTTAAAAAATAATAGATTGATAGATTATCAACATGGTGAGATATATATATTCTAAGTATCTGATATTGACAGCACAATTATTTTATTCATTTAGAAAACACTATTTGAAAGAAACCCCCTTTTCCCTGGTTTATGCACACCTTTATTTCATTTTGTACAAGTGGTTAGACAAAGGGTCAGATGATAACTTTAAATATTTAAACTGGTCAATGACAGTTAGGCAGTCAGCCATTTCTCTAGTTTACTGTTCAGCATAGAGTGCCGTAGCAGTAACCTCAAGTACAGGGCATGCCTTCCTAATGAGTTGTTAGTTATGGAACTATGAAGTACGTAATTCTGAATTTTAAATAAGAACACAGAACAGACTGGGGTATAACAAATTAAAAGCACCATAATTATGCAATATCATGAGATGTATTAGATATTCACACCATACATATATCAAAAGCTACATTAATAAACCTAACATATTAATAAAACGCTAAGTCTGGCCCTTCAAGACCTCAATGCTAATTGGAAAGGATCTTGACAGGACACCCTGAACAGTTTTCATTATCAATTTTGGTAAGCTATTTTCAGCAACCTAAATAATGATTATTTCTCTACTCCACAGTGCATCTATCAAAATTGAGGATCTGAAAAATATCATTAGTGAGGAAGAGTGAAGCAGCAAATGTTCAAATGCCACAACCTGAATCTGAATTTATTAGTGTGATGCGGATGATATGTATGGGGAGTTTCATTTTCCTATATTTTCCTCTTATATTGTCCACTTAAAATATACCATATGCTTACACTTATTTTATAATATACTGTACATTAATTTTTTTACATAATGCATTCTATTTCAAATTTTAGGAATACTTCAAAGATCAGATATTCTGATCCCTTTAAAAATGATTCCCAAAGTTTGATGATTTAATAGATTTCATTCCCCAACAAAAACATTTCATAGCAAAGGCAGATGAATCTCACAGGAAAAGCAAACACATACAGTAGATGTTACTGGCAAAAGTATGAAAGGTATAATTTTGCCTATAAAAGTTTATTCTTGTAACCAAGATACAGATTTACCCGTCTTTTTTTTTTATATTGTTGTTGGAATTAAAGTCATTAATTAAAAATAATAATTAGATCACTATTTGGTTTAAAATAAGAAAGGTCTAGCCAAAAAGGAAGTCCAATTAATTAATACCAGAGAGTACCAGGTACCTATTATAAAAATACAGTTTATTAAGGTTTTAAAAAAAGGCAGCTGTGTGACACATTAATGCCCATAACTAGTCTTGACTTTAATATTGGATTTGGTCCCACGAAAGTTTCCCCCTTGAAGCGAAATCTCGGCTCCGTGTGTCTTTTCCATGGATGGCTATAGGCACTGTGTTTGCTGAAGGGTATTGTTTTGTGAATACCTAGGATTTCACTTTCGCCAAAATGGAGGCCTTGCTCAATAAATAAGCGATGTGCTCCAGGTCATAAAGTTAGGTATTAAAAAAAGGAGGACGATATTGCAGCCCGAGTCAACTGCTGCCCCCCTGGCCCCACACCAATCCCCCTCCACAAAGGAGGCCGCTCCTTCCTGGTTCTTTCCTCGGGGTGTGGGCTCAAGGAGTTCATAGGCTCCCTTTTCTTTTCCTCGCTGAAATGAACACTCTCACACAGTGTACTCATGATCACGCCACCACGGTGTAAGTCAAGTTCAGGAATGACGTCCTTCACTTGTTGCCCCTTCCTCTCACAGTGATGTTTGTAACTCGCGAGCCGTGGGGCGTCCAAAGCCCACTGATTTGTAATGCGATACGCTTAGGATCTCCAGAGTAATTTCAGCATTAGTTACAAATAAAAGTTGGCTCCCTGCATCTCTTAATGTTGGGAACATGAACCTTTAAGACTCGGAGATCAAATACCAATGTTCCCCTAGGAACGCCACGCACATCTGCATTTCTGGACAGGGGACTTTTTTTTCTCGTTCCTAATCAAGTATAATCTCACTTCATAACTTCTACTTTTGGCTCAGTGCTACCTAGATTTCCAGGCAAGCGAAGAAATGAAGGCTGAGGATTTTGTGCTTAGAGGTTTGGAAATTTGGCAAAGGCTACACGAAAATGCGAGCATTTGATCTTGAACCTCGACACAGTGAAAGTCAGTTAAACTACAAAGAAACCGGAGCGAGGCTTACTAGAGTCCAAATCTGCACCTGTGTGTCGACGCTGCCAGGTATTTGTACTAACAATTCTGTGTTCGGGGCAAAGACGGAATGAAGAGAATGAAGAACCCCCCAAATTTTCCTCTGGGATCTTTCCGCCCTTCGAAGCAATCACTGATTCCTGCTTACATCTCCGAGTCAGGCATCCAAGTGTTGCTATTCCTGGCGGATTTTGGTCTGTGTTTAAATGGTCTGATTGTTAGTCTCCGCATCTGGGTCCAAACCAATTTAACATGGAAAGTGAGCTCAAGGATTCCAGTCACCTCGGAGTTATCTATAACGCCAGCTCCGAAGACAGCTTGAGTTATTAATGGACAATAATGAAAAATGCTCTTCCGACCCACCAAACTCAAGGGTATCGTTCCTAATGCAGTTTCCTTAATACTGACCTTTTAGAGGTCAGCCAAGGAAGGAGAATGTTATTTTCAAATAATTTAATTTAGCATCCATTAACACTCCTTGGGACCTGAAAGCCATGGAGTTGAAATGATTCTTGTTGTCAGATAATTGTGAGCACAATTACCTGTAAAGGAGAATTTCCACGAAGGTTAAGCGGCACAGCCTAAGTGTGGATTTAATTT